GTTATTTATTGTTTAAGGACGATTTAAACTCAAACCAAAAAAAAAACATCAACTTAATTGGTGTTTCCATGAATAGATACGAAATGCAGTGACATCGTTACAGAATAGGGTCCAGCAGCAAAAGGTAAGACGTTCCGGATGGAAAAAGCTTTTCCCCAGCGGGTACAGGTAGGGGAGGCTTCCTGATTCCACGAAATGCATGCACCACGAATATTCCCACGTGTCTATCGGGTGACTCATTGAATGTCGCCATCGTTGAATGGCGAGTCTGCCGACCGAGCTCTGATTGGTCGGGGTTTTTCGTTAATATCTCGTTAACAAAGCCTCGGATACCATTTTTGCTAAGGAAAAACTTGTTTCAAATCACCTCACGAGTCTCCCATTTCCGGGTCATCCAACATTTTTTTTGCACCCTGTATACATCAAGTTGACCGTACGAGCGCTGCCACGCGATTCGACGAGTCACGTAATTGACAGACCAATGGTTAGCACCACGTTACATCAAACCAATTTGTGTGTTTCATGTTCACTGAGAAATTAAACGCTACCAACGATTTAGCACAGAGCGGTCTCTGACATAACAGTCCGTTGGAGGTGGAACGAAAAAAAGAAAATGGTCCTGGAATTATTCGGTATTCCGCTGAAATCTAATGACCAAACTACCTACATCACCAAGTATATAGTTTAAAAATTCTTTGGGACAGAGTCATTGATTAGAAAATAGTCAATCCTGAATGGAATTTCTCCAAATTCATAAATACAAACACAGGCGAACTTTTGGTACCTCGAAATTTTCCATTTTTTTTAGGGACCCCAATGCAAACGCTGGGAAATTAATTTTTTTTACTGATATTCGGGTCTTCGGGGTGAAACTACCCCCTCGAAAATTGTAATAGATATAAAAAAATTGTTGGGATACAAATTTAATGACTTCTTATGTCATAAAATGTGTAAAGAAACTGTTAAATAAGTAAACAAATTTTTAACAATTTCATCACATAATTTATAGAGTATAAAAAGACACTTAATTTTTATTCTAACAATGTTTTTACATCTACTATAGTTCTGAAGATATAAAGGAAAATAGGAAAGGACATAGTAACATTTAAGGGGTGGTTTCACTCTGAAGAAGCACACGTTCAATTGAAGTCAACGAGCTTTCGAACACTCATCGAGGATTTACTGTAATTACTCTGAAGCCACTTTATAATCAATCAAAACGGTAGATTCCCTTTTACAGTCGTTATACTCTATTCCTGTATCTCTTGCATCCATTCCTTATCTGAATCATACTTATCAGCACTGCTGCGATTTCGTTGCAACGGGAAATGTGTGAAAACGGGTGTACGAACCCGGAGAAAGAAAGATCGAAACAGGGCACGACGATAGTGAACTTAGTGGGCGTTCGCGCGATATAGAAAAGTTATCTGCGGCCGTCGACATGCTCGCGTTTCATTGAACGACAAGCCACGGCAAACAATCTCTCCTCTCTGTACATATACAGGGTGTCCCAGCTAACAAGATCGCCTCGAATAATAACTTATCTGTACAGTTTAGAATATCAAATTCTGAGTAAAAATTTGTTGAACTTCGTACGTCCTAAACCATATAGTTAACGAAATATTTAAAAAATAATCACTGTATTGAAGTTGAGGGTCATCAGTTCGAACACTTATAGCTTCCAGATAGTAAGTACAGTGGCAGCTGAACATGAAGGGGGCTCTGAACTTATTGCCATTTTACTCCCCTACAGCCCCGACCATGGCAATATAGTGAGAGTCCACTGTACGTATTAAAAATTATTTTGTAAATATCTCGTCAACTATTAGGTTCAGCACGTACGAAGTTCAACAAATTTTTACTCCGAATGTGATACTCTATCGATCTATGTTATAAAAAAAGCAAGGTGACCTTGAAATCTCTGAAATTCCTGCACCCGGAACAAAAGCACGTCCCTCATAAGATGTGCCACTTGATGCCATTTAAGATCCATGCCTCAAAATTAAAAAAAAATGTCATAAATTCAATTCATTCAAACTTTCATAAAGTGTACCGTTAAGTTGTTATTCGAGGTGATCAAATTACCTGAGACACCCTGTATATGTATAGGTTATGGGACCACTTCGTTGAATCAGCCACAACGAAAGGGGTGGCGGGACCATCGCGTGCGCACGTACCGCCGCGTCGTTTGTCGTGACATCGGATACATTTTCGCCGCACGAATACGAAATAAGTTAACTGTGACAGAACGGACAACGACGACAGCAACTACACACAACACGTAAAGGCTACGAGGAGACTTTATGACGTCCCGTGTGGTATTCACAGTTTCCTGTTGCGTCCTTCAGTCGATTCACCACGCCACAACCGAACTTGGATTTGGCCGTTGGAACCGTTTCCCAATATTTACAAGAGTTTGAAACCTCCATCGATCGTGGATTCAGCCAATTTCGCGATGTGGAACTGACGGAGATCCTCCGTGAGACGTGTAATCACAGAATTGTTTTGTTTACTTGTGTTTTTGTAGAGGACCATTATTGTTAGAATAAATTTTATTGTTCGTCTCGTACTCTGTTTCTTTGGACACACCCGTAGCAATTCTAAATTTTAAGTAAATATTGGGCCTCGATTGATAGTTGGTAGCCGGAGTCGATCGAATTTTGTTGGCCTGACGATACTGTTTCAATGAGAAATAAAGGTGATTGGAGAACAAGAAATATTGAATGAATGTTGTCGATCGTTATTCAAATAAAATTGTACTGGTTTGACATACGAAAACCAATATTCCTGTTTATTCAGTATTTTCTCTTAAATAAAGGCTCCAAAATAAATTATTTAAAGTAGCTTATTACACTTTTCCATTGTACAATTATTTATAGTGTACAGGAATATGATACATTTAAGTTCCTAACTCTTTCTACAAAATAAACGAACCTATTGTCCGTATACTAAGGAATATAATTTATCAAAAATACCATTCATTTAAATAAAATTACTCGAGTAACGAATAGATTACTCGAAACAGGGTCTCACTTGTACCGGTTCTTTCGTAAATTTACACGATATATATGATAGAAAGTTTCTTGTCTTTTCACGCCATACCCTAGACTTTTCATTTCGATAACAATCTGGCCCGATCTCAACGGCCATCGTACGTACGAAAATATGCCAGGCTAAAGCACGCATGGCACAATAACCCGAAGAAGCGCGAATCGTTTGAAACGGCCAGAACCGCTTGAGAAAGAAAATGAAAGCGCGATAGAAATAACAAGGTTTTCACCTAGAAACCACACGTATGCAAGAGAGACCTGTGCGATCGCCTTCCAGGCTTGAAGGAGCGTTGCATTTGCCAGCGTGTTGTCCAGGGATCACGGACAGACCTTTGCGCGTTTACCTCTTTTCCGACCGCTATATCTTCATCTCTGTCTCCCCGTTTGCCTTTCGCTATTCCGTTGCTGGGCTGTACACAACGGGCCCGCGCGTAAAAATACCGAAATAGAAAGTCTCCGCGGTTAAAATCTTTTCCCCTTTATCTTTATCCTGTTTCTTCCTTCTCTTCTTTTTTTTTCGTTTTGTTTTTCTTTTCGCTACCTTTCCGTTCGTGTCCCCTGGATAAACACCGGCCGCGATACGGTGGATCGAATCACGATCACAGAGGACCGAATCATTCACTTCTTGGATGCAATTTAATGGTTTCACTCACCGATGATGAATTACTGGGCCGACGTCGCCGACTGACGTTTCTACACCAGGGTCCGTCCGCTTTCCCTGAACACAATAATCCACCTGTTCCGACGGCACAGAAACCACCGATGCGAATGAGAAAAAGTCTTGTTTGAGAGTACAGGCGGGCCCGTCGAGTAGGCAGCCCCCTCTATTGGCGAACAACGTCAGAACCGCCATCTTGGATCCCAACGGTCGCCATGTTACTAAGTTTCGTGTGGCGGCATGTTTCGTATACGACTGAAAGAAAGTATCTGTTTAGAACACGAATGAGAACTTCTTTTGGAGCTATTTATGAGTTTAATAAAGCATCCCCTGATTATTATTGAACTTTTGCTGTGTTTGATCAATACGTAAATCGACCCATTTTATGATATATGTGATAATAATATATATATATATATGGTATAATATATATTATTTATGTAATATTATGTAATAATATATATTATACACTATATTATATTATATGTTATAATTGAACAAGCGGTAGACTTTTAGCGTTCACTCTGTGACTGCAGTTAGCTGCAGAAGTCGACTGTTGAAAATTGAAGGGAATGATGGTATAGTCTCCGACCTCTCATAAAGAATTTAATTATCGCATTTTTTTTAATTTTGTAAGCACTTATAAAAATGTCGATGTTTTCTAAATAACATAGTATCATTTTCCAATGAAAAATGTAAACAACTAAATTACATTACTCGTTTAGATGCATGCTTGTTAGATAATAATGATATTTTAACAAATAGTGTACAAATATAGTAAACACCATAGTTTATAATTCTTCTCATTTTGGGCATTCAACAAAAATAAGTACATTATATTTAACAAAACATAGTGTTTCTACTTACGTAGACACTGCATATTTCAAGCGATGAAACATTAATATTTCGGTCAAAATTGCTTCATATACTGCAATTTTATATACTCGTCTATACATAATATCGCCAACTAGGTACTCGTCGGTGATATCATATTTGCTTACCTAGAATAAAATTTCTAAGTGGCACTCAGAACGGAAGTATCATTTACAAGCCATTGTAGGATCTATTCAAAATGGTTCGATCATATCAGAAAATATTTCAAAGAAATTATACACACATTTCGTTACACTTTCTCAAGAAAAAGAGTGAATAAGTAGAACGCCTAGTTTACAAGCGCCCTTGATTGTTTCGACGTGGACGGTACTGTCAGTCGCTCTAACATTCAACATGGCCACCTGATAATGTAGCAGACGATACAGGTGGTATGAAAAATTGTAAATAAAATTGGGTTCTAACTTGAATTATGAGTGGACGTGTGCAGAAGGACAGTGCCGATGATTCTGATCGTCTTGACGATGCGGTGGATCCTAGAGTCCAGGTAAACCGTTGCGTTCCTCAAGAAATAACTCATAGGCTTTCAGAAGCCAGCCACTTATGATATTGACATTTCCACGTTGACTCGGACAGAATGCTTGATTATATCTCGTTTATCGTTAGAACACATTACGATCATCCTGTTCCTCGATTGACTTACGAATACTGCAAACTACTGACCTCCTTACGATTATACGTTCAATTTGCCACGTTGCAAAATGATCTATGTTTTTCGTGATTGCTCCGTTCACTGATCGTAGATTTGCCATAGTAACGCTGTACTAGCAAGTTCCGATAAGCTGAAAATTAATGAGTATAGTTTTTATGCAATATATTGTTACCTCAAATGTATGTATAAATGTTAGAATCAATGTATTTATTATCAATTACCCTTTCAGATTGAACTTGAAAGATTAAATACTGCTACTGATGATATCAACAAGCTTGAGGTTGATTTGGATGTAAGTATAACTTGACTGGTTTTATAAATTTTTTATTCACAGATAATTTTCCATTCTGACCAATTAAAATAATAGTCACTCTTCTTGGTGAACCTAAATTAAGAACAGGTTTTGAAACTGGTTGTGATTACATTTCATTGAGGTGATTGGCAGGAGTAAATGGATAATGGTCTGAGAGATCATCTTGTAGTCATTTGTGGTGTTGTCTAAAGAAACGTTTTCATGACTTAAAACGTCATACCCATTCAATTTATTGTCAGAACTTAAGATTCATAAAGGCATGAATGATGTTTTTAAACTTTTGGTATTCCATCATTTATGAACATTGCATTTTTATTTTTTAGGAGGCTAGAGCAAGTTTTAGAGAATTACTTTGTGAATCTACAGTGAAGATTGACAGTTTAGCTAAGAAACTTGGTGCTTGTATTGAGAAATCTAGACCGTACTATGATGCCAGATTTAAGGCCAAAGAAGTAAGACATTTTTGTATGAATTAAGTAATTTAATGCATTCCAAGTATTAATCTAATATGTAAATGACTTCTTTGAGGCTTTACAAGAAACGCAAAAAGCTGCCATTAGATTTGAAAGAGCCAACAGCCAGCATGCAGCAGCCAAAGAAATGGTTTATTTAGCTGAAGAAGGTTTAAGAACTGAAGGAAGATGTTTTGACCATGCTTGGCAGGTAACTGAAACAGTATTGGTCTATCCACATAAAGATATTAATATAATAACACTTTGAAGAAATTTAATTCATAAAAATGTTCACAGGAAATGCTGAATCATGCAACTTCCAGGGTCAATGAGTCTGAACATGAAAGAGCTTTATCCGAAGCAGAACACAGACATACCACTGCTATGTATCATAAAGCTGAACATGAAGTGCAAAGACTGCAACGTGAATTAAAACGTGCAATTGCTAAATCTAGGTACGTGTTTGTCACCGATTTTGATTTTTTGGCTAGTGACATTGAATGATTTTCTAGTTTACATAATAATGCATGGAATGTATTGCATTCAATTAATAACCCGTATATAAATACTCCGTAATTTATTTTTGAATGTTTATCATGTTACTTTAATTTTCTATAGATATTAGAATATTTATGTCTTTTGGTTATATTCATGTTGGCAGTATGGGTGCACGCCGCAGCTTGCTTCTGATAAACAGTATCGCCTACAGGCACAACTTGCTCATGTTGTAAGTAGGATAGATATTCTTTTTTTCATTTTTTTTACACATTATTTAGTTGTGTGTGCTATGAACAATTCCCATTTATCAATTAATTTTTGGTTTATTCACCATGTTTGAGCACGAGTTCTAAAAAAGTTCGACGAAAACTGAAATACATAAGTTCTGCTTCATTTGACCATGCTTCTTACAGTTATTACTTTATAAAGTATAAAATCTTAAAAGAACAGCAGGCCTTCGTTTGTTAAGAAACTAATTACTGAAATCGTTCATTACACAGACCATACTACGAGATGAAAGCGTATTTTAATCAAATGCTGGAAGAGCAAAAGCTGAAAGTGAGTGCACTAGAAAGTTCAGTGGGTGAAGCTAAAATGACTTATGCAGAAGCACTGAGAAACTTAGAAAAAATTAGCGATGAAATTCATAGGGTATAAACGTCTTTCAGTTCTGTTTGAAATTACATTGTACAAAACCTAAGAATTATTTATAATAACTTTGAATGTCTTCACAGACTAGAAGATACGATGGAACGGACGACTTCAGTAAACATTCGAGAGACAACACAGTTGACCAGACTGGTGCTCAACCTAAGACAGAAAATTCAACGGACTCCAGTGTGACAGGGTCACCTGATAGTACCGATTATACTAGCGATGAATATTTACACCTTCCTGACAAAATGAGTCCTAATACACCATGCCCTGTGCCTACAAGAGTAAGTATTTTAAATTCTTTTCCAACAGAAACAAAATTACTAGCCTAAGAGAAGAATTAACTAATTTACTGATCTTCCATCTATTATCTAGATTGACAGAGAGCCTTCTTCCGAGTATCTGGGCCTAAACAACCTGAACCTCTCATCCACGGAACCTCGAAAGTACATAAAACGAGACCGTCCAAAGAGTATTGCAGCAACAGACACGAAACATATCATATCCCTGAATCAGACCAGTTCGTCGACATCACGATTGTCGGATTTAACGAATATTATTTCGCCTATAGAAAAGCGTGTTACTATTCAGACACCAGCGGAGACGAACAACACCAACGCGGCCGTACAGAATGGTGAACAGTGGACGGAGATCAGCTTGAACAGTTCTCCGGACGAAGTGTATTATAACAATGAAGTGTACTCGGACGAAGACGATCAAATTCCCTACAAACCGTTACCAATGGACCTGAGTCCAGAAGCCACTGCTGGATGTATTCAGCCATTCGGTGATGTATGTAGTCGAAAGAAGCTAATAACACAAAAGTCTCTGCCTGCGATGTCGAAGGGAAACGAAGTTACTTTGAGCGCCGAAAAGAAGGCTGAGGTCACAAGGAGTCCATCGACAAAGAGCAAGACTAAGCTTGATAGTAGTTTAGCTAATTGGATAACTCGAAGTTCAGCTGGTGGTGAGGCCAGTGCAAGTAGTTCAGGTAATTTTGAATACCGCTTTCAAAGAGGAAATACTTCATTTCAAAAGTGAATGTTTAACGTTGAATTACGATATTACAGCAAGTTCCAGTAGGAGGCAGTCACTCGACATGTTGTGGAGCGCCGGAACTGGAGAACGCGTGAAAGAGTTGCTTAGTCATGGAATGATGATGTTGAATATTTCTAGTCTTGCCGAAAGACGTTCCAGCGAGCCGAGAACGGTCGAAAAAGATAAGGATAAGTTTGAGAAGTCTGAAAGAGTAGAAGGAAAGGGGAAAAAGGTTCCTAGTCCACTAGAAAAGACCCTGACTTATCTGAATGCAGATGAAGAAACGTCCGACAGTGAAAGTTTAGCAAGGTATAGTATTACTCTGCCAATATCTTATCCTGTTTATAATCAATTGAATTTTATTACTGATATTGTATTGGAAATAGTGTGGAGATGTTAACGGAGGATCAAATCTCTTCGCTCATGATGGAACCAGACATGAATCAAGTATGCCAAGAGATCTTAGGAACACCCTTAGTCGAAGTATGTCCATTGTTGCAACAACTGCAACAGCAACAATAGCACTTCACGTGACGACGTTGATTCGATTGAATTGAAATTATACAACAATAGAAAGTGTTCAGAAACCATGATAAAGGAACGAACTAGTTAAGGTATAACTTCATTTACAATTGACTTTGCCACCTAATTAGTTCCTGCACTTTTATTACTCGTGACAGAAACGGAGGATTTAATTTTCTGTCCGGTATCATAGGAACATAATTAATCCATGACGTTAACGAAAATCTTCATATGAACCATAGTTACGTTCCACTCCATTTAGACATGATTTGTACATATTCAACCGTCGTAGAACTTTTTAATATTATATATACAAATGTTTGATTTTAATTATTGACGTGTTGTATACATAACACTGTGAATATCCTGGAAGCCTAATGACAGTTTCTGTACGTATGTTTAAGAAAACATCGTAATTGTTACTTGGGGCAGTTTTAAGTGTCATTCCATTGAATTCGTTTGAGAATTAGGAAGACTTACTCGATTAGAGAAGCAATACGTAGTGAATTTTAGATAGTTGTATTGTTCATTAAAAAAGATCATTTTTTTTTGATCTTGTACTTATTGTACGCGCCCGACGTAGCTGTATGTATTGTAGGAATAATGAGAAATGGAATCGTTTTTTCTATCGACTTATTAAAACAGCTTCATCGTTTAGGAAGTTTTCTGTCTGTCTGTGTTGAGAGTACAACTATTATGTATAAGCAATTCGTTTTTTATATTAAAGAGCAATATTGAAAATTATAGGCATAAAAATTTCAATCTGGGTGAAGTTATATGCTCTTTTTTTTGTACATGCTAAGTAGAACTTGTTTAAATGAAACAAGACGCTTTTAAAGAGAAGATTGGTGACTTCGACGAGCGTACTGTTTCACATACCAAGCTTTAATAATAATTAATGATTGTAATAGTGTTCATCTGCCAAGCTCAGCAAAAACATTTCGAAAGAATCTTTCCTCAACTCTGACGAGGTATATTATATATACATAGATAAATATTTATGGATTAAGTACCTTGTAGTTGTCAGGATATATAAATATTTAAAATATAATTAATACATTCAAGCAACTATCGTACATGAAACTAGACAATCCAACCAGAAATCAGTTGAATAAATGATACTTTCAAACAACTCAATTTACGTAACAGAATACTCAAATTTAAGAATAAGTTTTAATCCTTCTTTTCAAATATAAGTGCACATATTCTTGTGTTATACGTCTCAGATATTGAGTTGGATTGTCTATTTGCAGTAACAAAGTAGTTTAAACAGAAGATGCATGCAATATGCTATTTACAGAGAGTAATATATACATATATGTATATATACATATGCAGATACTATTTATTTTTATTACATAATTTTCTGCAAGCAATATTTATTAATTTTTTAAAGATGGTATACATAAGTATACAAAAAATCTATACCAAAGGCAAATAAAGTGCAATTTACAAACAAAAAAAATAAAAGTTTATATAACTTTGTTTAATTCAGTTGATTTAGCAAATGATTTCAAGAAAACGTGAAGTATCTTTGTAAATTAACTAATAAGTCATATTTATATCTTTTTTATTATCAAATTATAAAATAATTTCATATATGTATGTATACATATATGTATATATATATACATACATGAATTGTACAAAAATTGCAGAAATTTATATCTTTTAACTAAAAATATTTTTTTATAACGATCATCATTGCATTTCTTTTAAACGATACCGGGAAAAGTTTAATGTCGACTATGTTCGTTTGTCAGAGCCAATATCGTTATATTGTGATACAGTTGTGTGATTTTTCATGAACCAAACGATCGAACAAGTATTTGCGCGGCCGAAATTCTTTGGCGTCATGTTACAAATAAATAATATTGAACTATGCAAACATTGCCGTCGAAATTTGTCATAAGGAAATTGTTACCTTCGACACTGCGTCGAGAGCGGTCATACTCTTAAATATTTTACTAGACATTTTCTTGGCTAAAATGTGACGATGACGACGTTACATATAACGCGAGCGCATAATTATCAATAACAATTGTAAATACATAATACTGTATATGTGACTGTAACTATGTATATATCGTCATCCTCATTAAAATACGGTTACAAAATTAACATACAGTAACGAACAGTTCACTAGTATTTCTTATTACAGTGTTCAAAATTTAACGGTTTTTTTTTCAACGTATGGAACCAACTGATCGCGACTACTCGATATCATATATACAAAGACATCCAGCGTACAGTTTAACTAACAAATGTCTGAATTGCATTCAATTATCGGAAAGACTGTTTATTATAGAATAAATAATAAATTTAAGACATTCGATGAAATTCAAAGTAGGAGAATTTAAACTACAGAGTGTCACGAATACATCTGAATAGATGCACACAATTACACATCTATTATCAATATATTTCAAGCAGACGTCAGACGCTTTAACCTCCAATTAATTAATTAATCGTATTTATACTCACGAAACATCTAGAAGTGTAGAAAAACCAAAAGAAAATTTGGGCACAAATTTTAAACACGGATTTATCGTATGTAATTCGCTCAACGAACTGTTCCCATGTTCCGGCGACGCCCGCTGGAACTACAGAGCGCTACGGTCATGGAGAAAAAGAGACGGACGATCTAGAAATGAAAATGGCGTCGCGTGCACGGTGCCGATAATTCTTCGTTGGGTTCGTGCGTTCGTTATTATTTTTTCGTGCGTAATAAGGCTAAAATGCATGTGGTGTTCGGCGTACGATCGCGTAACCACCGTTGAAATACATCTCGCTTGAAAAACCGCGCCGACGACGTCGTTTTGGCGCGTGCTCGATTAAAAATTTTGCGCTTGTTGAACGGGCCGCAAAACGGTGGGACAAAGGTGTACGGGCACACTGTTTGGTGTTATATGCTTTTTAAATCCGCAACGGGACACCGCAGCCTCGTCTCGTCGCGAATTGTCGATCTGTTACGTAGCCTTTATTCGTTGGCATGACGAGGAAAGACGCCGTCCGTACGGTCCTCGTGCATCGCGAAACGACCACGAACGAGCTATGTGCCCCGGCCAGTGGAGCGGGTGAGATCTAGTTATCGTCGAAAGACTCGCGGTAAAACGGTGCGCGAATACTGTGGACGACGTGTGGTCAGGCCACCATGGCGGTGAATCCGCGTGATATGGACGGTTTCATGCCGCTCCTGTCAACGACGGACATCAAGAAGAAGCTGAACGTTGGGTGTTTGCTGTTGAATTACTTGGGCGACGTGAGCAAGAGTATCGAGTGTCAGGACATCGGACAGTTCATCGACAACATCATACCATGGCTCGGCAACGGAAATCCGAAGGTATGCCTTTTTAAACGATCCTCCAACCAATTTTCCAGATGCTAATCACCGAAATCATCGGACGGATCTCGAACATTTACGGTTCCAGCTGATTCATACGAAAGTACCGTACCCTTTATAATCCCACACCGAATACGGTTCACTAGAATCGCTGTACATAACGTTTCTGTCAAACCTTCGATTTTCGCAGTTTTTCGGGAACTGAATTCGTACGATGGCGATTCTACAGATACTAAATATACGTGGATATGTAAACAAGACCGTGAAAACCGCCTACTGTCGTTGTTCGATTTCTCAACGTTAATTGGAGATACATAATAACGTTTTCAATATTTATAACGAATTAATCGTGATTCTATATATCGGTTATGAAAAAAGAACAGAAGGGATTATGAATTGTTGGAATTGTTCTCGATAAAACGTATTGAAAGAGACTCTGTAGAAATATGGGTAGTGGGGTGTGCCGGGTGACAAAACTGGTTGAATCGTGTGTGCGTACGAGCAGCGGTGCTCATTCGTCGTTGAGTTTCGTGGAAAAATTGAAAAATGGCTAATCAGCGTCTGACGAATAGATAAACGTGTTTAATTATAGAATTTATGTTAATACGCGTGCTTAATATATCGTCGATGATTAATGGCCGATAGTTTTGGGTCGTCTGGGATTCCCTTGGCCCGAAAGACAGTATTTGTGTACATTTTATTTTCGTCGACCTTATATCTACCCGTGTGCATTCGAAACTTTCTACGCTCGATACCTTTGCCGAATGAACGATACGATCCGCGGGATAGGGAACGTGGACCGATTTGTAAATTAAATTCGGATTCACGCATCGTGGACTAAGTGAAGAAAAAAAAATGAACGTTTGCCACGCGAGAAAAGACAGGTACGACGGGGCTCGGTTTTTAGACAAGGATCTTACGAAAGATTCGTCGCAACGATTCGATTGCACAATCGATCGCCGTTAGGAGATCGGCCGAACTAATTTATCAGCATTATCATCTGTTCGCTGTTTTTACCCCTAGACGCGTTGGTGGATTAGACGGTTCAGTAGTCCAAGCGATACAAGATTAGCTGAATCTCGTGCTCTGAATAATTCTCACACACATAGGAATTTGTGTAAATAGCGTGTTTGATAAGTACTGTATTGTTGAAAATATTATGGATAATATATTTAAGAGAATTAATTATGTGGCTCAAGGTAAGGATAGATGGATTCTGTCCATGTATGGGAAAATGAGTCATATTCACTGGTCAGAATGAGTAACAGGTTAGTCGGTTGGTTTGAAAGATTTAAGAAAAGAAACTATATTTATTCTCTCAAATTGTAGTTCGAAGGCTTTCAGTGGTCATGGTTCAGGGGAATGGAGGACATGTACATTGCCCAATAGGAATGGGAGCTTGCATTACTTTATGCAATTCAGGAAAACGTTTTAAATGTGTTATTGAAGATATTTTGACGGCAGCACTTGTGACTAATATATAAATGAGGGCACTTTAGGAAGCTAATCAGCATTTATCTCTCAGAATAGTAATGAGACCATTGGGTTGGATAATTCAGACAAACAAATTGAATATATCCCTCAGAATACATGGGAGATCTTACTGTGAGATTGAAGGACATGAATCAGGTGCTCGGAACAATTAGAAGTTTCCATTTCAGAAGAACATCAGGATATTGAGCAAAAGAAATGAGAGAATATGTGTTATACAGTATCGATAATACCTACATTAAAGAATGAGCAACAATAAGAACACTTTTCAGTAGGGTACACTGTTACCTCCTGCATATTTTCCAACTCAGAACGTTGCAAGGTATTGCATCATCATTAAACAACCAAACCCTTTTCGAGCATGAATGCTCGCAAGAGTATCTTGAATTCCATTATCCCGATCAATCTAAATTTGAATTCTATTCCTCCACCATGAACATTTCAGTCTAACAATAGAGCTTTTCTTTACCTTGGTATAATGCTATCAGGATATTCCAGTGGTTCTCAACCTCCAGAGTACCTCAAACGACTGAAATACCCCAGTGTTTTTAATCATATGCAATTGTAACGCTTTTCATCGTGACCTTTGATCAAGATCCATAAAAGTGCCTCAGGGTGCCTCGTTTACACACTCAGATTACAGACGAAAATAAACGTTCATTAACACGAATACACGATGTGTTGCACCCATGGAGCCTTTGAGCTGGCCCAAAATCAATATTATCCACGACCTTAAGGCTTTAGCAACGGTGGTTGTCGCGTGACGGCCGTTCGCGGGGGCCGGTTATTACCAATTACAGCGATCGTCGATCAGCCACGCCATTACAAACGATTTATTTACCACGAATCCGTCGGCCCGGTTATCCGCCGTCACTGCGAAATCTCCTCCGGTCACTCGTGTCGGGGAACCACCCGTTAAGGGAGAAAACTTTCACGCCATGTACGTAGCGGCGTTTGTCCTTTGGAGTCGTGTGTGTCACCTGCGGCGGGTACGGTCTCTGCCGCGGAAAGATTTCGTATCTGGTCAGGAGGACCGTTCGAAATAGACTTGCATTCTACCTACGTCGCTTCTATTCGCCTTAACAATATTATTGATACATGTATCGTTATGTATCAGTAAGATATCGATAATTTGTCGATAATTGATAGTGGCACCTCTAATTCAAAGTTGCATTGAATGTTCGCTGTAAATTTACAACAGTGGAAGCGGATAGCTCGCGAAACGACGGACGCATGGAGCCTCTTCGGTTTGCGTCTTTCGATCTACTAGATAATTCCAACGATGCCGCTTAATCTCGATGACGTTATGAGCGATAAGATTGGGATCACGTGCTCGACGAGAATTCGAATGTGGATGTTTGAATGAACGTATTGATATTAATGATTTAATTGGTCTCGATTTATGGACTCGATCGTATGCAGTATCAGCGAGGACAGAACTGTTTAGGTTCGAGTACACTACGGATGAAAATTTTGGGATTGTCCGTTCGATAAGAATTATATTTCGATGAATGAAAAGAATTAAGGGCAGTTTATGAGTTTTTACGCATTCTGTTATTAATTAGTAGACTGCGAATGTTTATGCATTTATAGCACCTCTTGATTTAAAAAATTTAAATCAAATTTAGTACCATTTATGTGATGTTATTAACGTGAAGCCTCTGGCACAGAATTCTGCTCCATTTAAATTATTTACATACTCTGGATTTGCATAGACTTTCGTGGTCTATTAATTAGTATGTTTGGTACCATGGAGAATGAATTGTGGGGATATGTTTAACGGTAAGAAGAGCTGAAATGTGTCGCTTGATAAGGCCGGATCAGGAATAGTTGCCAAACGGCGTATCACGGATAATGGTAACGGGACTTTTCCCATTATCTTCCATTCAAGACCTGATGGAACCAGTTCGACGCCAATTGGCCAGGAAATTCAATTCCAGTCGCGTTTCCAGGGTCTTTGTGTCCATTCCGAGACGTGCAAATATCCAGGAGAAAGTTACAGGAGCGCGAATTTCGTGACTTTCCTGTGGGAAACGTATGGTAAAGGGACTTTAGAATGGCACTGACGACTTTCCATCGGTATGAAAAACTTTGAAAATGGCACCAAATATCTTACGATGAAAATAAGAACTTTACACTGGTACCAAGGACTTTGATGGTACTCAGAACATTATAATTGTGCGACAGACTCTATAGATATGTCAAAAACATAATGGTACCAAAGATTAAACAGTGATACCACAAACTGTATAATGGTACCAAAAACTGTGCAATGGTAGGATAGACTTCATAACGGCACAAAATGGTACATGGTCGGTCTTTAGGCGTTAGTTACACGCTCGTGCCAATTCCGTTAACGGAAATGGGCCCCGCGATGACGTCAAAGCACGTGGAACCTCGAAAAAAAAAAAAATCGTCACCGGCCAAATATCGTCGGTCGATAAAGCTTACGTCATCCGCCGCGCACGGTCGGGACTGCATGCGAAACGCAAAAATGTCGCGCCCACCCTTGTGAACTTTGCCGATGAAAATTCCGAGCTTGTTCCATAATGCATGAGGAACCGAGGCGCGACATCCCGTGGTACACACTTCCCCGAGCGTGTGTAGTGCACCGGGGGAACGCACATTGAAAACGGCCGTATTTATAACGTACGGTTGACCGTTCCCTCTCTATATTTAGCGTGCCGTATTCTGTTTTTATTTATTGTTGATCGCGTTACCCCCGTTTCACTGCAATGCTACCGGTATCCAGTGATCTAGTAGATCCAGCCTAGGGTGTTTGGTGAATCGGATCAAGTTCAGTGTACAATATTATAAAATGGTAAACGAAGAGATAGGTAATTTGGGATTAATTTAATGTGTTAACTGGTTGAATTGAATAGAAACCAAGAAATAGGGAATTGATGCATTTAAAATGTAGAAATTGTTTGGTTAGTTGACAGGAACTGGTACCAGAAGGATACAAATTAATAAGAAATGTAGTAGAGTTCAATAAGTCCTTCGTTTCACTTGGTACCTTAAGACCTTCACTTCACTTGGAATCTTAAGACCTTCACTTCACTTGGTACATTAATGCCTTCACTTCGCTTGGAACTTTAAGACCTTCATTTCACTTGGAACTCTCCTGATAAAGGAGAACATATTTCAGTATTATTTCTAGTGCTTGTTAAGTACTAGACATGGTTGAATCGAATGTTTCGGAAGTGGGCAGCTTGGATACCGCCCAAAGTTGCGGGAACTGGTAGCATTGGGGATCCTAGAAGTCTGTCTAGTCCTCGGGATCCGTAACCGGATGCATTAGCATTTGAATAGCATATGCTACTAGCGACCATCATTATCCAGTGACACTTGTTGCTGTAGGCCTCGTTATTAGCTTCGAGAATGCCCGTAACAAACGAGGAACTCACTCTATTTGCTCGTACAAAAGGTGGAACTGATACGAGCCACGCGAATCGGTTACTTTCTATCAATCCAACCGCGTGAGGTGGTTCGGGAGATTAGATAATTAA